CGACCGGCCGCGGGCTCTCGGCCTCCCTTTCGGGTCCTCGGAACACAAGGCTCACCGTTTGTTCCAGTAGAGCCCCAGCGCCGGGCCCCTGGTCTGCTGCCGGGAGCGGAGGCGGTCACGCGCGGAGCGGAGCGATTTGCCGCCCGCGTTCATTCCCCGGGCAACACCCCCGCCGCCCGCCCCTTTGTTCTCGCGGGTGCTCTTCTCGCCTGGGGTCCCTTCATGTCCCGGGGTCGACTCTTCAAAGACCGCTCGAGAGCTTTTCTCACGATGCCGTTTAGTAGTGCGTGTTGGGAGGGAGTTATTTTGTAAACCATTAGCAAAGTGCTGCTTTGCGTTGTCCCTGGCGGTTGCATACCTGCAAATTCCATAACTACACTTGATTTAGTTCCCAGTCGTTTCTCAGTTTTAACGTCTTTCTGTGTCGGTTCTTGTTTAAAACATCAGAATTGTATGTTTCTGTTACAGTATTTGAATAGTGTTTTCCAGACCAATGAGAGTTCAGCGCTGTAGAAGCCCTGTGGGCTTTGGAGGGAGCCACTAGTCTTAGTTGGTGCTTAGTGGTGTAATTCATAATCAGATTTTTAAGTAATTAAATGTAAGTTAGGCAAAGAGCATAAAGAGTTCTGCATTTTATCTTATGTCCTCGGAAGCGGCACGTACCCATTTTTGATCCAGTCAAACTCGTTTGCCAGAGGATGCTGCTTTTAGGATTAAAAGGTTCCCAGTGTGGCTTTGTACTTTGTTGTGGGCAGTCAGCCTGTTTTAGTGGACAAGGACATAATTTGGAATCACAACTTTTTGCTCAGCTAGTTATTCGACATGCACTATAGTTCGTTTCGTTAAGCTTCAGATTTTTGGGGGGGGAGGAAAGAATTATCTTCTTAACTTTTACTAATGATAGAGAATGTGCATGCGTGGAAGACAGAGAGACACTCTTGATCGTAGAGTTTCCTCAATCTTCAGTCAGCCCTTTCCCCAATCCTCCAGCTCATCAAGATCTTGTGTTTTCAGGTGAACCTGGGAGGATCTGAACCTGCAGTCTTGCCTCCAAATTTTGATGCTCTATGTCCCTATTGTGGCATAAAGAACTGGAACTTTCACTCCGAAAAATGAAACTGGGTTTTCTTTTGTTTTGATTTCACTTCGCAGTTTGGAGAACTTGCTTAGTAATTTAAAATAGCCTTGGTTTACATCAATTTATGTATCTAGAAAAATGTTAGGTGAAATGTTTGAAGTTGATAAATATTACACTATATTCAGGCTATGTTTATGATGAAATTCAGCATATTGTGTAACTGTAATTAAGGGCATTTGCACTAACTTAGTATTAGCGATAAGAGGTGGAAAGTGGTCATGGTAGGCATTGTGTAGGGCACAGTAGTCTTCCTGAACTTTGAGTGGTAATCAGAACCTTCAGAGAGGTAAAAGGGCAGGTGTAGAAAATCAGACACTGGCAAGAGCAGAAGTGCAGAGACAGGTATGTTCATGACATTTCTTGGTGATAGATAATGAACAGACCTTCTGGGTGGCGCACATGGTTAATCCTGGTGACAGTAGAAGGTCAGGTTTTAGAAAGGCAGGATTAGATCAGATTTTATCAGATTTTGGAAGGCCGAATGTTTGTTGGGAGTGAGGAGGGCTTTCATCCTGCAGGCTATAGAGAGCCATTGAAAATCTCTGACATAGTGCTGTTTTTTTTTTTTTTTTTAAGAATTATTTATCTGTTGAATTTCATTTGTTAAGATTATTATTATTATTTTTCATTTGACCAGAGAGAAAAAAAGGGAAAGTGAGAAAGCAAGTCACCAAATTCAGGTGCTGAACTGTGGTCACCCATGTGGGAGTCCAGTGCCCTTAACTACCATGCCACCTGCTGGCTCCTATTTTTTTTTTTTTAAAAAATGATGTAATTTAACTTTATTTATTTTAATTTGACCAGAGAGGGACAGAGCAAGCGAGAGAGAGAGAGAGAGAGAGAGAGAGAGAGAGAGAGAGAGAGAGAGAGAGAGAGAGAGAGAGAGAGAGAGAGAGAGAGAGAGAGAGAGAGAGAGAGAGAGAGAGAGAGAGAGAGAGAGAGAGAGAGAGAGAGAGAGAGAGAGAGAGAGAGAGAGAGAGAGAGAGAGAGAGAGAGAGAGAGAGAGAGAGAGAGAGAGAGAGAGAGAGAGAGAGAGAGAGAGAGAGAGAGAGAGAGAGAGAGAGAGAGAGAGAGAGAGAGAGAGAGAGAGAGAGAGAGAGAGAGGGAAAGTGAGAAGACAAGCTACCAGGTCCAGGACTTGGACCATAGTTGACAGGTGGGAGTCCAGTACCCCAACCACCACGTCACCTATTGACCCCAACAATACAAAATTTCAGTTAAATAGGAAGAATAAGTTTAAGAGATCCCTTGTACAACTCGGTGACAATAGTTAACAATATAATGTATTTTGAGACCCAGCAGTGTTGATGCAGGTAGTGAAGAGTTGCATTAAGCTGGAGCCATGTGGTGGACCTGGGGTCAGTTTCTGGACTAACTTAAAGCTGGAAGCAATGCATTTAGTTCTGGATAGCTGGGAGACTAGGGTAGGTGCTTTGTGGCATGGCAAAACCTGTCAAAAAATTTTTGCCTATCTCTCTTTCTTTCTCTGATTTAAAAAAGGTATTTTTAAAAATGCTAAGACAGTGAAATAAAGGGTTCTCACCATAAATGTTGTAACTATGATACGTGAGTTAGTTAGCTAGGTCTAGTCATTCCACAATGTATATTTTCTTCAGAACATCATGTTGTACTTTATAAGTACATAGTTTTTTTGGGTCAGCACGGTGGTTGAGGCGATGGATTCACACATGGTTGACCATCTGGCAGCTTGCTCTATCTCTTGTGCCCTCTCTCTATGTCTCTCTTGTAAAATTAAAAATAATAGTAATAATAAATTAAGTAAGTAATTTTTTTAATTTTGGAGAGGTTTTTGCTATAGGGCATGTGCGCTCGCCAGAAAGACAGAGAGAAAGAGACAGAAGTGATAAATCACCCCCCCACGGGGGATGGCCACACCACAATCCCTTTTCCTCCATTATCCTCTCAGGATCTTGGGCAGGCATGCACATGTGCCCGGCATGAGTTTAAGCCACTGGGTCTGGGACTCCAACTGTGGTCAACTACGTGGGAGTCCAGCAACATAGCCATTATGCCAGCTGCTGGTCCCGTAAATAATTTTTTTAAGAGAGATTTTTACTGTAGGGCGCATGCACTTGCCAGAGAGACCAAAAGAGACAGGGATACAGAAATCACTCCCCATGGCATGTGGCCCCGCCTCATCCCCCTCTTCTCTATTCTCCTCTCAGGATCATGCAATCACGCACGCATGAGTTACTAGGTCTGGGACTCGAATTGTGGTCGACTACATGGGAGTCCCGTGATGTAACTACTACACCTTCTACTGATTCCCAAGTAAATAATTCTTTAAAAAAAATAAAATGAACACTGGGACCAGCAGTTAGCATAATGGCTATGTTGCTGGACTCCCATGTAGTCAACTGCTGTTTGAGTCCCAGACCCGGTGGCTTAAACTTATGCCGGGCACGCGTGCGTGCATGCACAAGATCCTGAAAGGAGAATGGAGGAGAAGGGATTGCAGCGTGGCCATCCTCCCTGGGGGGTCATTTCTTGCTTTCTGTCTCTTCTTCTCTCTCTGTCTTTCTGGCGAGCGCATGCGCCCTATAGCAAAAACCTCTCAAAATTTTTTTTTTTAAATAAAATGAACACACAGTTTTTTTAAACAGTTAAAAAAATAAGTTAATTCTACCCCAAAAAAATGGTTTATTAGGAAGATGAATCTGTGGAGTGGACTAGAAGCAGGAAAGATTCAAAGATAAACCAATAGGGTGCAGGTTCATCTGAATTGAAATAGAGTATTAATTTGTGCAGGTGAAAGGATGGAATAACAAGAGTGGTATTAAATTATTTTTGGATTTGTAATGATTGAGTATATGAAACAGAAGGCAGAGATAACTTCTACTATAATGAGCCTGGGCAAGTTTTGCTTGTTCTTTGACAGAAATAAAACAAATTGGAAGAGGAACAATTTGTGGAGAAAGTGATGAGTTTGACTTTAGATGTGGTTAGATGCTGGGGAACTATCCATGTGGAAATATTTAGTATTTTGTTGGGAAGACTTCTTTTTTACTTATTTTAATGGACATTTTAAAATGTGAAAACAAATAGACGGAGTAGTATAATAAATCCCCTGTTTGGGGGCCAGCAGGTGACATGGTGGTTAAGGTACTGGATGTTCCCATGCTGTCAACCATGGTTCAAGTCCTGAATCTGGTGGCTTCCTTTCTTACTTTCCCTCTCTCTCTCTGGTCAAATTAAAATAAATGAATGATGGGGAACAGCAGGTGGCATGGTGGTTAGGGCGCTGGACACTCCTCCATGGCCAACCATGGTTCAAGTCCTGGACCTGGTGGCTTACTTTCTCGCTTTCTTTCTCTCTCTGTGTCTTTCTCTGGTCAAAATAAAAAATGAATGAATGAATAAAATTAAATAAATAATTCTTTAAATGAATGAATGAATGAATGAATGACTAGGACCAGCAGATAGCGTAATGGCTATGTCTCTGGACTCCCATGTAGTTGACCATGGTTCGAGTCCCTGACCTGAGGGCTTAAAGTCATGCCCGGTGCATGTGTGTGTGCGTGCCCAAGATCCCGAGAGGAGAATGGAGGAGAAGGGATTGCGGCGTGGTCATCTCCCGTGGGGGGTGATTTCTCGCTTTCTGTCTGTCTCTGTCTTTCTGGCAATAAGCAAAAACCCTCCAAAAAAAAAAAAAAAAAAAAAAAACAAAGAAAGAATGACTAAATAAAATTAAATACATAATTCTTTTTTAAAAATTTTCTTTTGGAGAGGTTTTTGCTATAGGCTGCGTGCACTCGCCAGAAAGACAAATGCACACAGAGAGACAGAAAGGAGAGGTCACCCCCTGGGGGGATGGCCACGCTGCAATCCCTTCTCCATTCTCCTCTCAGGATCCTATGTTTGTATCAATTGCCTTCAGTGATTTTAGTAATTACCATTGTTTTTCTTAACTATTGGGGAAAAGGGGAGGAATATTTCAAAGTAAATCCTAGACATTGTATCATTCAGTTGAGAACTTTTTCTTTTATGTCCATCTGTCCCTCCAATTTTACTTGTGAGTTTATTCTTAGTGCTCATTTTTTGCCTAATTACAATATAATATGTATTTACTTGGAAAGTTTGGAAAATAAAAGTATTAAGGAAAAAGAGGCCAACAGGTTGGCCATGCCTCAGTCCCTTCTTTTCAGTTCTCCTCGCACGCACACACACCTCGTGTGATTTTCAAGCCACTAGGTCCAAGACTCGAACCGCAGTTGGTCAGCAATGTAACCACTATACCGTCTACTGGCCCCAGCGAATTCAAATTTTTTAACTTTGAGTTGTCTAATGAGCAAACGTCAAGGAAATACTAATTTTTTTATGTCAAATTTGATTCTGTCTTGTAACTGGGATTGCTTTCTGAAACTTAAAATATTTAGTTGTTATAAAAGAAATATAATTCCTTATCTCAATCATCAGATAATTACATTGTCTGATTTAGAATGTGATTATATTAATGCAAGATCATGTTGCTCGAAATTAAACAAGGTAAGACATTTCTTTGCTCATTTTTCTGGCATTGAAGTTACTGAATTTTCTGTATTAAAGCTTACTACAGGTAATATATGCATTTTTTATTTTAGAGTGTATGTTGTCTCTTCATTGGAATGTTGGTAAAACTGCTGTTTTGCAGTAATGTAGATCATGAATTACACTTAGAATATCTGACTTGAATTTTTGTTTTACTTTGCATGTTCCTTATTCCATTGTCTACAGATGTACAAATCAGTACTCAGACAAGGCAAAGGTTCATTGTGAGGATAATTGTTTTTGTCTTCTGTGTCCAAACCATCTCCTCCCACTCATGGGAAAAAGCTAACTGTGTCTTTTGTTGAATGAAAATAAAACCTTCCTTGTGTGGCTTGCTGAGAAGTAGACTTAATTATTTGATTTTTTTAAGATCCATTTGCCTTTAGCATAGTGAGAATTTTATACTAGCAAGAATACTCTGAATTGGGGGCTGGCAGGTGGCATGGTGGGTAAGGCGCTGGGTTCTCACATGACTGCAAGTCCCAGAACTGGTGACTTGCTTTCTCATTTTCCTCTCTGTCTCTCCCAGGTGAGTGCACATGCCATATAGTAAATTTAAATAATAATAATGTATAAAATTAAACAATTCTTTATTTAAAAAAAAGAATACTCTGGATTTTAAAGATGATCTAGATACAGGAAAGCCAGTTGGTTCTGACTCATTTTATGAGGTGAGTAGACAGTAAAGCTTTCTGAATCAAAGTTCATATTAAAAAAATCTAATACTGAGAGGTGCTTTTGGCTTGACCTAAAGATAGTCACATGTGTCTTCATATCTTCAGTCATAAGAGACAGAGAGATAGAGACAGAGAGAGAGATAGAAAGCGAGAAATCACCAGACAGAGACAGAGACAGAGAGATAGAAAGCGAGAAATCACCCCCCAGGGGGGATGGCCACGCCACAATCCCTTCTCCTCCATTCTCCTCTCGGGATCTTGGGCACGCACGCACACGTGCCCAGCGTGAGTTTTAAGCCACCGGGTCTGGGACTTGAACCGCGGTCGACTACATGAGAGTCCAGTGACATAGCCATTATGCTAACTGCTGGTCCAAGGAGAATGATTTTTTATCCAGATAGATTGTATTTTTTTAGAAAGAATTATTTTATTTAATTTTATTATTATTATTATTATTATTTAATTTGACCAGGGAGAGAGAGAAAGATAGCGCAGGAATGTGAGAAAGCCATCTGCCAGATCCAGGACTTGAACCATGGTTGGCCATATGGGAGTCCAGCACCTTTAACCACCATACCACTTGCTGACCCCAGATTATATTTCTTTATATTTTTCTTGCTTACTCAATATTTTATGTGCTTTGTGGTTTCCTTTTATAAAAATAAAAATCTGCAAACAAAGAAGAGATTATCTATATTCTTCTACTGAGAAAGTTACTGTTTTGCATTTGAAGTTAAATAGTTTTCTAATTTAATTTTATTTATTGTTATTATTTTTTAATTTGGCCAGCGAGAGAGAGATAGAGAAAGTGAGAAAGCAAGCTGCCTGGTCCAGGTCTTCTACTGCACTTGGTCATGTGCAAGTCCAGCATCACAACTGCTGCACCACCTGCTGGCCCCAGTTTTTAATTTAATTTTTATGAAAGCTGTGCATATATAACTAACTAAAGTCAGTGGTACTATAAAGCTTATAGTGAAAGATTGAAGTCCCTTCTTGATCTTTAAATCCTTTAATCCTGTCTTGCTTTTTAGGGGCAACTGATTTCAACACTTGAGTTGTTAATTTTTTTCCAGTATTCATATTACTCTTTTATGTGCTTTGTACCTCTGTTTCTTGATTTGTCGATTTAAAATATTATCTATTGCTACTTTTCAGTAGAGTAGAGAAAGATTTATTTGTTAGGTACCCCTTTCCTTAAACATCTGGTCTCCCATCTTTGTATTTACCTTTTCGGGAGGTAAATTGATATTCAGTAATATACTATTATGTTGTAATTTAAAAAAATAATGATTTTTTATTTAACATTTGTTTGTTTATTTTAATTTGACCAGAGAGGGACAGAGAGAGAGAGAAAAAGTGAGAAGGCAAGCCACCAGGTCCAGGAATCGAACTGTGGTCTGCCATGTTCAGGAGTCCACTCCCCTTAACTACCGTGCCACTGCCAGCCCTTATGTTGTAACTTTTTAAAAAAATTTTCTAGCCTTAAAGTAGGAAGTAATCTTTTTTTTTTTTTTAAATTGAAATACTGAGTTTATTTCACGTGTATATTTTTGTCTCCCCACCATTTCCATGTCTGACTACTACTATTGCTGTGTCCTATCATAACATTCCATACATACTTAAAACCAGGCCGAGGGTGGAGTGCCATCTTTAAAAACTAAACAGTCATTTCAGGGCCAGCAGTTGGCATAATGGCTGTGTCACTGGATTTCCATGCAGTCGACCACGGTTCAAATCCCAGACCTGGTGACTTAAACTCACGCTAGGCACATGTGTATGAGTGCCCAAGATCCTGAAAGGAGAATGGAGGAGAAGGGATTGCTGTGTGAACATCCCCGCGGGGGGGGGGGGGTGATTTCTCACTGTCTCTCTGTCCTTCTGGCGAGTACACATGCTCTACAGCAAAAATCTCTCTCAAAAAAAAAAAATACACCTAAACAGGTATTTTGGACAACGTGTTCTTGGCAATGGAATCTGGACAACATTTATCAAACACGGTAGGGAAATTCTCACTCTGCATTATAAAAAGGACAGCCAGATTTCAACTGTTATAGAAATGAAATAAGATGGAAAATTTTAACAAACTGTTTAAACTATTTTAAAGATACTTCCTCCTCTGCCAGGGATCTTGAATAGCCTCCTGGTCAGTCGTCTGGAAGTGATTCTTTTTTTTTTGAGAGTTTTTTTTCTTATTGGGCGCGTGCGCAGGCCAGAAAGACAGAGAAATAGAGAGATAGAAAGCGAGAAAT